ATATAAAATCAGAAAAAATGATGTGGTAGTCAAAATATGTCATGTGCCCATATCTTGTATACAGCAGAAGTTCATCCACTGCCATTAAGGTCACTGGCTTAGACGTAATTTTTAGCCAGTGTAAGCTCACATTAAGTAGCTTAGGCAGGCAGATGGACATATTTTGGGGCAGGAGCATTCTATAATTTCTTTATTTCTATACTTTTCTTAATTCTTGGTTAGATAGAACACACTGGGTTAAAGCAGCCTTTGTCTGACAGCTGTGGGTATTTGTCCTCTTGCATTCTTGTGCTTCAGTCTCGCTACTGGGCACTAATAAATACTGAATAGTACATACCTCTGTGTTAAACCATTTCAGAGAGGAGCATAATATTTTACTGCCTACAGCCCAGTTTCTCAAGCAGGTGAGCAGGATTCCTGAAAGGCAGAAGCTCTCCTAGTAGGAATGAGAGGAGGTGGCGGAGGATTGCACGCTTTGATTTCTCTATCCTCCAGAAGTCTTCCATTGCAGCTGAAGCGCAGTTCAGCTTCCTCAGTGAGTGTGTGTTAACATACCCGATATATTGAAAGCAATAATTATAGCCTAGGAGATATTTGTAAACCTTAAACAGTGTTTGTGGGGAGTGGGCGAGAACAGTCATGGCTGAGAGCATTTGAGGCATAGCATTTTGTTTTCCAGAATACAGGAAAGGGCGTCTTCCGCTTGTTGAGATCGCGTGAGGGCAAAGACGACGACTTTCCCTTGAGCATTAAGGGATCAACTGATCACCTACAAGGAAAACATTGTAACCACTTGTCATTACAATAGATCGGAGCGTGCTGCTTTGATATCCGCTCTATCTACTAATGCAAAATACTGTGTGAAAACCACCAGCCTTACTGTTTAATTTTTGTTAATATTCATGCTAAAACATAAGTTAACCAGAAAATATACCCATGTGGCTAACTATATTGGCAGTCGTGACTTCACGGGATTTAATACTCAGTACGAAAGCTAAAAATCCAAAAGCCTTTCTTCCCTAGATCTAACCACAAAACAGTTCTGGTTTGTGTCAAAAAAACCCTTAAATGCCAGTTGTTCATGCTGCTTTTAAAACCAAGGTTTTGGTTAAAGAAGTTATAATTGTTAAGATCTACATTGTATCTGTTTACAGACTTATCTTTTCATTTTCAAACAGCAAAATCACCAGGGTTTTGGCAGACATCTGAATCTCGTTAGAAAATGTACATCCAAAGCAGCTTATGAGGTTAATTTTAATGTTTGTATTAGATGCCTTAAATTCAAATACTAGAAAACAGAGTGAGAGTGTGTGTGTGTATATACATATATATTTATATATTTGAAATGAAAATTTTAATATCTAAGTTTACTTTTTATTTTCTATATTAAGAAACCTATTGCTTTTTAAACGGAATCAGTAATTCTAAGCAAGGTCATTGATTTAGTACAATAACAAAGGAGAGATGCCTGTTTTCCTACTCCTGCATGACCTATTTACTGAGTAGCTGGTACACACTGGGGCTTACTAGGTTATAGAAGAGCTGATCAGGTAATTTAAGATCCTACAAGTTGTACACATTCAGGCTAAAATGTGATAATTATAATGCTGTCCTTTCACTCCACCAGTATTAGCTAGACTCACTGGGCGAAAGTATTTTGTTTGAGAGAAAGTATTTTGAATGGCTGAGTTGAACTGGAACAGTTATGTAACCCTGCGCAAGCCTGAAATTAGGTTACTGAAGTTTGTCCCAGATGCTAATTTTGTCTTCTGCACTGTTGTCCTGGCTCACAGCAGTTCTGCTAGACCTTTCCCCCCGCTCCAGGTTAGAACATAATCATGGGTATATGCAGTGGCCTAGTGAAGTTCTTCAGTGTCACAGCTCCTCACTCCTCCTGTCTTGTGCCCAATTACTTACCCATGCAAGAAACTTCCCCGTTTTGCTCTCTCTGTTTAAGTTTCTTTACAGATTTTGGCAGGGACTTTTTGAAAGACTTTGAGAAAGCTGGGAAGATGGTATGCATGAGTGCATCTCAATGTTTTCGCTTGTTGGTCTCTTCAAAGAAATATAATGGGTTTGTAAGTCTGATTTTTTTGTTTTGTTTTCAAAAGCAATATTGACACTTTGGAAGAAGACTAATCTGGTAATTGTATTACCTGTTACAGCTTCTACTAATTTATACATTATGGCTAGAAGGTTAGCAACCTATTAGTTTCTTCCTTGACCGTTAAAAATCGCATCACGTTTGCCACCTCCTAGTTCCTGAGGTATGTGAGCAAGAGATTACATACCACCATTGCCAATTCAGGGACTTCATTCTTGAGTTTCTTTACGTCCTTTGGATGACATGATACGGCTCTGTTACTTCTTACCGTCCTAAACATACAACTTTGTGTTTGGCCATATGAAAACATAAATCATTTGCCCTTATCTGCTCTGCCTCTGGTCCAGTTGTGATTTGAATGATCCTTCTGTCTGCTCACAACCCTCATCTTTTCCTGCAGGTTTGATTAGTTTTGGGTTGCTTTACTTTGGGTTACTTAAAAAGTGCAGAACAATGTAAGGCCAAGAATGGTCTGCACTGGTGCCTCTTAGAAGTGTATTGGGTGGGCGAGAGCATCACCTGCTTCTGTTTCAGTAAGGTTTAGTCGTTTGGCAGCTAATCAATCTTTAATCCACTTAATATATGTTGTGTTCTTATAATGCTTGGATACTTTAATTGAAATATTATGCAACATGCAGTCTTTAGTTACGTAAATCTAAACGTATCATTACCAATACCATTACCTTGTCAACCAAATGTGTAATCTCCTCAGATGATGTCTGTGAAGTTAATTGGACCAGATCGTGTTGGTTGTTATTTGTCACTGCTCTTTGATTTCATACAAAGACTTCCATAGCTTGATTCTGTGTTTTGACTCAGCTTGAGGGAAACTAATTATTTAGAACCTACACATATCAAAATCATCCTCTAACCCTTTCACAGTAATTGTTTTCTTCACTATTTTGGTATTAAGACTTCTTATAAGTCAGCCTGTATAGTCTGGGGATCTCCTTGGAGTTCTCTTTTTAAAAAATCCTAACTTTTAATTTCTTTGGATATGTTTGTAAATGGATAGCCAAAGCCTAGGCAGTAAGTGTGTAGCAGCTGAGTGACACCTTCTGTACTGACAAATGGAGCAGGTGTTTCGCAGCCCTTTAGAGATGAATCTCTAGCAGATGAACTTCCTCCCCCTGCTCTACCACTCCGCTGTGCTGACCTTACAGAAGTTGCGTACGTTGTTCCTGAGGCATGGGTGCCATTGCTGGAGACAGGATTTGTAGCCACCAGTGCCCCTGACTCCAAACCAGCCTGTACACAGACTCTTCCTTATGTGTTCTGCATTTCAGCCTTTCTGTGGCATGTGTATGAAGTTAGTGATAAAGTCGAAATATTTTTTATTATTATTATTATTGAAAAAAATACTGTTAATACCAGATAGGATGCTTTATCTACTGCAACCAGAGAGGATCCAAAACTGTGTTAGGATGTGATCAGTTTTCAAATGCATGGAAGATGGCTTTGAATCCTGTTTTCAGGAATACATTTAGAGAAGCCAGGCGGCAGTAATTTTGGGTATGGTTATTTCTGCCTTGTGTAATGGGGTTGAATGACTTTCCAGAGTATTTTTCAAACCTTGTTTTCCATGAGTATCTCCTCTGGCTCCCGTAAGGAGTCTACCAGTAAAAGGTTGTTTAGCAGTAGCGCCAGGTGTACCATCTGTGAAACTCCAACTGCTTAATTTCTTCACAATCTCTTTGGAAGGGACACCTCTGCGGTCGCGGGGGTTTATCAAGATGTTGGTGCCACAGTGCCATTGGTTAGAACAGTTCTGGAAACTTCCTTAGCAACTCAATTCCACAGAGACCAGGTGTTGAAGTAATGAGAAGTCATGTTCTCTGTGAATGAAGACCAGGGGTTCTGCCCATGGGAGAAGAGTCTGCACGTTGCTCGGGTACCTGTGATAGGGAGCGAAGGGCCTAGTCTGTGAAGAGCTAGAGAAGGATGGGATGCTACGGGAAGATACAGATGTTGTTGGGGTTCGAATAGTGAATATCAGCATGGCTAGCACAAGCTGAAGTAGAACTGCTCTAATAATATTCTTCTGGGACAATGAGGAGGGGTCAGACGGTT